AAGTCAAATCAGTGCCAATCAGCATTTCTGCACTGCAAGCTTCTGCCTGTCGCCATGACGCCCCAGCTGACTACGAGGCCGAATATGAGCATTGGGTAATTAAAGCCCCGCCCCCATCTCGACCACTGGGCCAACCGGCCGCGATTGATGGCGTCTGAAAGCGCAGCGAAGGTCACTAAAGCGCAATCGATACGCTCAGAAACATCAGCTCCATCATAAAGTGTGACCTCACCCTCCATCGACATGTGTGCAAAATGTCATTTAAATCAGAGAACAAGAAGAAAGTTTGCAGAATCGATCAATAAATAAATGCATCGATCAGCCTCCAATAACAGCTATTACACTGCTGTTTTAAATCAATCAATCAATAACAGATATTTCACAAAAGTAAGAATACGGTGAAGAAAAGTGTATGTAGAGCACAAACATCTCCCACCAAAGTCCATTCAAAACCTTCAGCATTTAAGAAAATCTGCTACGTAGGGTTTTTTTTATTTAAGGTTTTTAATATAATATATAATGTAAAGTATTTTTCCTGTGTGATTGATTTTTAAATAATGTGTAAATAATTTTGAAGTATTATTTTTGTATAAATGAAACTTCCTGGTGATAAGATGACGTCTCAACTGGTTTAAGTTAACAACTACATTAAAACAAAGCAACAAATTAAAAAAAAAACTATACAAATTTAATGCGAGTAGGTTTCAGACATTATTTGTTCACCAACTTCCTGTTTGTGTGCAGGCTTTTATTTTGTAAACAGGTGAACCAACAGGTGATACTGGGAATCAGCTCGACGGCAGCACGATTGTAGCTCACACAATAAGATAAACATTTACATACACACCATAACGTATAGACAGGGTTGTGTCCAAAGACAAGCCAAAAGGTGCCCCTACCCCATATAAACCCATGATAACAACAAAGATAATAATAATGATAATAATAATAATGTTAGAAATAATAGTAATGATAAAGTCCCCATTGCTGTTTCACGCTCGTGTGTCTTCTTCTCTGTCTCTAAATGGTAAATTATACTTATGTTGTGCTTTTCTACTCCTACTACAAGCGTCATTCACACACACACAAACACACACACATTTATATGAGCGCCTTTTTCTTCCCATAAACACGTTTAACATAACATCCACACACTGACACACATCGGGGCTACTCAGGGTTCAGCATCTTGCTCAACAGCCAGGAATCAAACCACCAACCTTCTTAGCTGACAACCCCACTTGAGCCATCTGTCACACATCTGACCGACACACTGCAGTTAAAGTGGACTCAAATTTAAACCCACAAACACACACACACAGTAAAAATATAAATACCCACTAACACAAACACACGCACGTACTCAGAGCTGCAGGCTGCTGCATCGTTCTGCTGGGTGATTAGAAAACTGATTAATTTGGGATAATGACGAGAAGAATACAAGGAGACAGTGTCTCACACACGCACACACACACAGACACACACAGAGTGGAATAATTAAGAGGATAATAAGGCAGCGTTTAGTGTGGAAAGCTTCCTCCTGGGCCGACCACACACACACACACACACACACACACACACACACACACACACACACTGCAGCTCTTCTTCTCTTACAATTAAAAGTCTGCAGTGTTTCGCTCCTCTGAGGATTCGACTGTTTCCTGTGCTCGACACAGCGAGCCTCTGCTGCTGCTGCTGCACTGCCCCCTGCAGGACACACTCAGCAATGACTGCCCACAGATGATGGATGAAGACTTGTGTCTGTTCCTTCTCTGGACATGCTGTCTCATTACACACAGACACACACACACGCTGCACTTTACAGGGACTTCATCCGCCACAGAAAGTAGTCCCCATAGATGAACTGCACTGAGCGTTAAACTATTTCAACCTGATTTGAAGAAGAAGCCGATGATACTTTCTTATATCCTTTACAACATTTTTGTCTGTTTTGAGTTTATTTATTAAAAATAAATGCAAAAGCATGAAATTAAGAGATGTAAGAAATACTCTTAGTTCCCCTGAAATGAGGCAACGCTGCACAGAGGGGATCACCTGCCTCTTTTTCAGCTTAACTTCTGTTTCCTTACAGAAAAGTTTATATATGAGCCAAAGATCTGCGGGAGATATGAAACAAGCAGGTTAAGAGGTGATCATGTCACCTGATGTGATGACTACAAGCTAAAATTTACATATGAAATGCCCTTAAATCAGGGGTGGGCAACTCCAGGCCTCGAGGGCCGGCGTCCCTACAGGTTTTAGATGTATCCTTGAACCAACACAGCTGATTTAAATGGCTAAATGAGCTCCTGCAGTTCTCCAGAGGCCTGGTAACAAACTAATCATGTGATTCAGGTGTGTTGACCCAAGGTGAGATCTAAAACCTGCAGGACACTGGCCCTTGGGGCCTGGAATTGCCCACCCCTGCCTTAAATCATTAGCAGGACTTTTATTGTTAAAATCTGCATCCAGGATCAAAACAAAGCAATCAAACGCCTTATTTCGTCACGTTCATTCCACCTCAAACCATCGTCAGGTTAGCCCTGGATTCAGCCTCATATCACAGCATGGTTGGTCACCTGTGGGCGGGTCAACACTGAAGAGAACGTCTCTGAAATCCAGAATCAGGAGTTTGAAAATGAAGTGTTTAACATCTCGGCTCCATCTCAGTACATGAAGTTTTCTGCACTAACATGCAGTGTATCTACCTCACCTTGACATATTTTTATTTCTGTGACTGTGATTGCTAAATGTCTGCTTCAGGCTTTGGTTAAGCTGTGAATCATTAAACAATCGTAAAGCGGACGACAGATTTCCCTGCTCTTCGTCGTCATCAGTCAGAGAGCAAACCTGTAACCCTGTAAACCGAGCCTGAGCGGCAGAATCTGATCAGACCCACTCAAAGTGAAACTCAGGTGGACGTGAAAGAAGCCAGAGGCCGTCAGAGTCGCTGCTAATTAACCGCTGAGTCCGTATCATCCATTTCTCTCTCTAATTACAGCCGTTAACCCCGCGCCTGCCGACCGGTCGCCCGCCCGCCGCTTCATTAACGTCTCTGCTGCCTCTCTTCTTATTAATGTGCTCTCAGAGTGTGAAAAATGAGCCGCAGGGTTTACCATTTGCAATAAGAGAGAGAGAAAAAAAACTTTTCTCCTGAAACCTTTCTGCCGCTTTTTTGTTTGCTCCTGTTGATGATTCGGCTTCACAGATTTGTGTCTTTCTGTCCTAAAACTGTTGCATTCAGAGCGATCAAACATTTGAAAATGCTCCTGTTGAATGTCTGAAAGAGGTTCAGCACTGCAGTCACACAGCACAAAGCAGGATGGGTAAAAGAGTAGCAGCTAAAGGCCTTCATCACTCATTGGTGATGTCAGAAAGCCAAACGAACGATCATCTGGGTGATTCAGTCCAATCAACCAAAGACTTCTCAGTCTTAGGCAGGCCTAAGATTTCTGTTTGGTAAAGGTCCACTCTACTGCTGCTGCTGCTGGGACGTAACACAAGCAGTGGTGAAACATAACTGGGTACGCATACTCATGTTGTAGGGCCAAGTTCACAGTTTGGTAAATCTTTGTTGGTGCAGCAGAAATAAATTATGACGTCTTTAGACACTTTCACACATGAACTGGTGGTTTCCAGAAATCCTGTCTCGATGCATCCTCACACTGGAAATAGAAATGAACGTGTTACATGTGGAGAGCGTGCAGGAGGCAGGACAAAAAGCTGAAACCACAGGTGCAGGTGGTTTTTCAAAAACAGCCCTCTTGGCTCCTGCCTGGAACGTCCATTATCAAATGATTTAAGACAACTTCACAAACCCAGAACTGAAACTCAGTAATGAGATGATCATAAGTCTGGACCTCCATAGCGAGGAAGTCTCGTGCCAGGTGGCTTGAGGTGAATGAACCCAGACGTGAAGCACGGCAGAGGTGACCTCTGCCGTGCTTCACGTCTGGGTTCATAAGGCTTCAGTCCAAGGAAGTCCTAAACCATATCAAACATCCAGCAAAAAACAACTCGGGAAGAATTCATGGACACAAAAATTAAATGTGGATGAAGGAGCATCACAAATTTGGGCTTTCAGATCCAATGAATCACCAAGAAATTGCCTCAGACAAAATCACAAACACAAAGAAAATCACGGTCAGGACTCGCATCACAGTTTGGGCCCAGAAAGTCTAATACTCAACCAAACATGTAGCACCAAACGACTTAAGATGGTGGAGGTGGCATCGTAAGTTTGGGCCTTCAGACGCAATGAACCTATGAACCAATACGAGAAGAATGGCCGAGGCAACACTGTACACTGGGGGCTTCAAACCAAGGAAGACGCCAAACATCAGGGGATATACTTCACAAACCTAAAGCTCAGTTACATTGAGGTTTGAGGCTTCTAATTGGGACTTAACTAAAGATACGTCACTTTTTATGGCTTCTTCCCAGTAACTACACCACAGAATGACTTTAAACAGGGGAAATCCACCCTCAGAAATCACAGGTTGCTCTTGTTCAGTAAAGGTTGTTAAACTGTTTGTCAGTTACCTACCTAAACACACTGTGTCTTTGTGTCACTGTGACTTAGACACAGATCAGATCACATATTTATTCACTCATTTAATGCAGATGTGCATGCAGTGTCTGGGTCAGTCAGGACCTTGACGGCTCCGGACACTCTCCTGCTCCTCCTCTTTGTCCTTCCTCCCACTGTAATGTCTGATTCTTTTATTAATCCCGTTGGGGAATCGTCTCTTTTTGTAGCCCCCCACCTTCCTCCCCCCGCTATGATAAAACTTAATTGCTGTTCGGTTTGAGCTAAATAGCTGAGCGGGTCCATTTAAGTCTTAATTGATGTGTGATTAAGAGCGTTCGAATGGCTCCGGCCGGGACGTCGGAGGAGGAGGAGGGAGTGTGCCGGGGAGGAATGTCACCTTCCCAGAGGACTGGACTCTGGTTTCCCGGTCGTGTTGGACACTTTTCCCTGACAGATGGCTGCTTACCATCCTGGAAGACTCGCTCCACGTTGAGGCCGTAGGTGGCGCAGGTTTCATAGTAGGTGCATCGTTTGAGGTCGTTGGAGAGCTTCCTGGCCCGGGTATCGTCGATCACCCTCGGGTTGGACGAGCTGATGGCGTCTGAGAAGGAAATGACAAAGAAAGAGCTTGAGTCTAACTTTAAATCCACATTTTACAGTAAAAGAAAGAAACTCAAAGGCACCAATCTATTTTTATTCAGGCGTTTACCCTAATGTAGGTATATAAGGTGCCATAAATATAATAAAAGCCATAAGACTGACTCAGTCATGTATTTTATTAGAATTCTGGCCTGTAGAATCAGAAGGAACGCCTCCACATCAGCGCTGTGGCTCATGAAGGTGAAAAGAAACAAGAGCCCAGACTTTAACTAGGAAAACTTCAGCAGTACTCTGGCGCCATCTGCTGGTTATGAGAGTAATAAGCACGTTTGGTTTAAGCTACTTCCAAGTGCAACAAAATAGGTAGTAACAACAGCTCTAGAGAGGACTGGCTCATGCAAAAATCTGCCAAATAACATCTATTAGTAATATTTGTAATTATTTATACGAGAGTATTTCACTTTAAGGAATGAACGCCTCCATGAACAACACTAGAATTACTTTAAAATGACTCAGATGTCACTGGAGGTGACATGAAGAACCTGTCCTGTGTTTAAAGACGTTTCCTCCTGTTTTAATGTTTGAGGGACCACATGTGTCAAAGTAATTGCTCCTGTTATCACTGTACCTGCCTCTGTTTTATTTAACCTATCTGCTAAAGAATGTAGAACCAACTCTTAGATGTGCTGGCTGTTAAACTCAACATGGGTTCATGTTGGTTTTTTCAGGTGAACACCAGGAAAAAAGGATGACAGAGGCAGGCAGATGTTATACAGGTAACTTTAACTGCGGCTGGAAATGAATATCAGAATCTGGAAGCGGCGTCCTGAGATGATTTCAGTGATTACACAAACACTGGGTCTTTATTGTTGCTCGTTTGTGGAGAATATTTGTGCTCTCTGGTGTTTCTCTCCGCCTGCAGCTTACAGGGACAAACTCAGTGAGACTGTAAATACATTCATACATACAAGATTTCAGCTCAGTAACAGCACAGCAGGACTCTGCTTCAAGAGTCAAGAGTCGTCAACACAGCTAGGCTTTCATTGTTTTTTGGCTGACTCAACAAAACCTAAAACCCCAGCAGGAGATAACAGGTATCATGCTGGTGGTTTTCATCTTTCTTTGCTACCTGCTTCAGGCTCTCTTCCTCAGAAAATCATCCCTATGAGTGCCCCTACACCAATCAGACATGTTAAAACTAGAGATGGACCGATCCGATATTACGTATCGTATCGGTCTGATACTGACCTAAATTACTGGATCAGATATCGGAGAGAAATAAAAAATGTAATCCGATCCAAAGTATCACAAAATCACCTCACGAAACACGCTACTTGGCATAACCCAGCTCAGCGCATCGGAGCAGTATGTGTCACGTGATAGAGCGGCTGTTGTCTGCGAGACCTGTCGGTGGTCTGTTGGAGCATTTGGAGCCTCGCTACATGCTTCCTAACCGCGGCATTTCATCTCAGCGAAAACTATCCCAGAGAAGTAAAACAAGTGTGTAAGTTCATCCCTGAATGTTTGCATAGTATTTCCACGTTAAGTTAACAACTGATATATTGAGCCACAGATGGACTGGCCATCGCAGTTCCATATTGAAGTGAAAAGGAAGCGATTTGTCTCGTACTTCAGTTAGAATTAAAAAGTAGACACAAAGCTGGAGTTATTCTGTCTTTGCTGCGCAGTTGCATCTACTTCTCTCATTCACTCCCCCTCCCTCTCCTGTTATTACTTCAAACATGAAACTGATCAATGATCAGCTGACCGTCTTTCTTGTTTGTTTATCGCCCACTTTGCGCTAGAAAGAGGAGACCAGCGGATAAACAACAGCAGCACGTTTAAGCTTGATGAGCTGTTGTTAGAATGTATTTAATGTTACTTTCTAGTATCAGCTGAGGTTTGCTGGAGCCACAGCTGTAAAAGCTGCTGGTCATGATATGTGTTTGAATATGTGATGAGAGGGAAACATGAAGATGAAACCAGGAGATGTCCTTACTGGATCATCAGAGCTGAACAGGCGATGGAGAAACAGGTTTACCTTTTAGGTGACATGAATGAGTTGAAGGGAAGTTATGAACTGTTTCCGAGAGACAAATAACACCAGGATCCTTTTTTAGGTAGCTGACGGCTGGTAACTGTGCAGGGGCGGGTCTAGCAAAGTGTTGTCGGGGGCCAGGTAGGGCATTAACAAGGAGAGGGGGGCACAAAGAAATACTTTTCTTTGTTATGTCATTTAAAAACTTTGAATAAATAATTATCTGAATCTTACAACAAAAGTGGTCATCTGATTAAATGTATAGAAATCCATTATTGCATATAGTAACTAATAAGTCTAATATACACCCAAGTAAGCTATAGTACTTTTTCCTTTGGGAAGGTACCATCTGTGCAGTCTGTAATTCTGTTGAAGAAAGATGTTGAATCTATTTAATTATTGTAGAAAAATAATTGATTTCTGTGCATTTGTTTTACACTTGCATTAAATTAAAGGTGATTCCATCGATTAAGGGCGGACGGTGGTTCCCTAATATTTTTGCTGGGAGTTGGCAACCCTATTAGTTAGGTAGGTAAGTACTCTATAAAAAACCAGAATAGGGAGGATGGTGTAGGTTTAAATTTATTAGATTGATCAGTGTTGCTGAACTATAAAATGTTTTGGGTGCAGTGTATTTTTTGCATACAGGTATAACAGAATAGCTTCAGTCTCTTGTTTTTTAAAACTTGAGTATAAACTTATACAAAATGCAGCAAGATATTTATTTACAAAAACAGTTTTATTGATTACAAAATACGCTATATCGGATTCATATCGGTATCGGCAGATATCCAAATTTATGATATCGGAATCGGTATCGTGCCATCTCTAGTTAAAACACATTCTTCCAGCAGAGAACCTTTATCAAGTTTATTAAAATCATGCTGTAAATAAAAATGTGCTGCTTCCAGATGATTTTAAACCCAAACATAAAATCACCAGGTCAGGAGCAGCATCAGTTACCATGGTGAGCTTTGACTCAACTGTTTATCAATCAGATCATTACTTTATTGGATTAACTGATCCATTAAGAGTAAAACAAATGAAAATGCTGCCTTAAAATGTCCAAACAGAGGAATAACTTTCAGTTCAGACTGATAATAAAGACAAAACTGTAACGACAAAGAATTATTCATGTCCTTTGATGCGCGGATCGGCCAGCGTTCAGCCTAAACACTCTACAAATCTACTGATGTTTTCCTGCTGTGTCTTCTCAGTTTTATGGTTCTTATATCTGGATCTATGTAGAATAACGGCAGTTTGCAGGGCAGACATTTTTTCTAATACTTTTATGAGTGCATAAAATACAAATAAAGAAAAGGAAGAATAAACTTAAAATTAACAGCAGCCACAAAATGCTAATCAGAGGCAATGAAGTCAAGTTTACAGCTGCAATTAGGATTGTGCACCACTAGGTGGTAGCAAAGCTCTAGGAAAGCAGACTGTCCAGAGAGAAAGAGAGAGCTTCCTGCTAGGGACTAAAAATAAACCCCATCAAGTAGAGTTTTAAACAATACAAAGATTTGGTGTTTATACAGAGGCTTGTGTGTGTGTGTGTGTGTGTGTGTGTGTGTGTGTGTGTGTGTGTGTGTAGTACCTTGTGTGCCGACAAGCACCAGCGGCAGGTCAGCGGTGTTCCTGTAGTTGGCGAGGCGGCTGAAGTAGTGATAAACAGTCTGAAAGCTGATCTCGTCCTCCAGACTGAAGACAAAGATGACTGCGTCCACCCATAACGCAAACTGCACACACACACGCATACACACACAAACAAGGTTGTAAATCCAAACTTTATTTAAAGCATAAAATCATTATTTCTCACAAATATCAGCCTAACAAAAATGCCGGGCTCTCTGGGCTCACAGTGTTCTCACAGTCCAGTCTGAAGGAGGTGCAGTACCCACCTGTGCCTCCGGGGGGCCTCCTTCATCTCTGATGAGCAGCAGGTGACTCTGACCGTCCACTACAATCTCCTTCTTAAAGCGCCCGCCTGCAGAAAAGACACACAGGTTACTAACAGCGATGCCAGCGGTGGGAGGAGGTCTGATCTACAGGGAGGTGGAGCCGATCATCGATCGATCGGGCTGATCGAGTGTGAAATGATAAACGCTACACAGGAGGGAGGTGATTGGACAGGAAAGTAAACTAATACATATGGGGGGGATGACGGAGATAACCAGCAGCTGAGAGCGAAAAACACTAAGGGTTAAAAAAAAAACAACCTCAAAACGGGGTAAGCCATCTTTTATGTACAGTCTGTGGCTGTGACCACATTTAAGCAATACGGAAGCCTCTCAGTGCCTTACACTGCTCTAAAAACCAGCTTCAAACAGGGTCAGAAATCCAGGGGGGGCAGAAGGAGGAGCTTCCTGCTCCCACCTGATGTTCTGCTGTAACAGGTGCCTGCAGATGACTGAGGACCTGGAACATCTCATCAGGAGCACTGATGATCCGACAGCTTCTGCCTCTTTCTATCCTGAACTCGTGCATTTTGTTGTGCTCTGACCGTTCATCTCCGAGCTTGCTGTTGCTTTAAGAAACTCCACTCTGACACAAATATAAACAGCAGTGTGGCAAGTCACTGTGGGAACGAGCGTCTCTTCCTCAGCATTTACAGAAAGTCACCGGTGTTATTTCGGGCTCTCTCTCTCTCTCTCTCTCTCAGCTGGATCAGCTGATCTTGGGATGGCGTGGCCGAGCTAGCGCAGCTGCAGTAATGACACACTAGCGGCGAGCACAGGAAGTGGACATGTTTCCATCACTTGCCCTTTCTTTACCCTGACGTTAAATATTTGCGTCAAGAGGAGCTGATTTTTGTGAGAGGGGCTGCCTTTCACAATAAAAGCCCTCAAAGCTTCTGAGGAGTGCATCAACACAACTTATGACAGTGGACGTCGATCTTTTATTTACAGTGTGTGTGTCTGTGGTCATTCTGCGATGAGTCCAGCTTGATAAACTGATTAATACCTTTAACATGTAACTAATGTCTTCACTGATCAATACAGCCATCTAGTCATCTTACTTCTGCACCATTATAGGAACAAACGTACGAAACAGGATCATAAACACAGCTGACTGATCCCCACATGCAATTAAAGAAAAGTCTCCAGTGTTACGATTTTCTCTTTAATCGGTTAATAGAATCACTTATTGATTCTTTAAAGACAAATAAAAAGTCATAAGTTCATCCTTTGGAGTTTAAACAGGCAGAAAAAGGAAAGTGAACACGGATTTATTACTAAACATGAAAAATGGTTCACTAGTGATCTGAAATTAATCTAAGATCGTTCACCTTTTTTGATCAAGATGGAAGAAAATCAGTGAAGCAGGTGAACATGATGAGGATGGAGACGAGAAAAAATATGATTAGATAATGAGGGGGCGGAGCTACACATTCAGTCGCAGCAGCAGATCGAGTTCAGCTTCAGGTTCAGCAGCTGGAAGCATTAAATAATCCAGATGTTTCAAATCTGACTTGATGAAATTATTTGTACAAACATGTAAAAAAACAAAAAACAAAAATGAAAGATGAAGCAGTTAAATCCCTGGAGACGTGCAGCGTGATGTTTGGCGGTTGTTTGATGACGCGGAGATGAGACGCGGTGCTGAAACCGAGCTGATCTCAACGTGCTGCTGTCTGAACCAATGAGGCGATGGATCGAAGGATAGAGGGATGGACAGGTGAAGGAGAGAGGAAGGATAGTTACCTGCATCCACGTCAGCTATTGTACAAGATCAGCCCCGAAGGAAGAAAGAGAGGAAACAAAAAGCAAAACAACAGCCACAGTTAATGCATGCACAGTCCAATCAGGAGACAGCGAGGAAGGTGTTTGAGAGAGGTTCAAAGAGAGGACACGAGAGAGAAGAAGAAGTAGAAAGAGCAGTAAAGAACAGTACACAGTTTCATTTGCAGTCAGCTGGAGGTCAAAACAGTGAATAAACAAACACGTAAACACGAGAAAAGCTCTGAGAGGAAGAGGAGGACAGAGGTGAGAGGAAGGATGGACCGCTTTCCTTCATGAGTTTGGGTTCATTTATGTCACTGTCACCACCTCGTTACTGCAGATTTATACAAAGACGCTGAGTCATTAGACATTGCTGAGGTCACATTAATCACTTTCAGCAAACTTGGAGCTGAACGAAGACGTTTGGATTTCTTTGCCATTCTGTAACATGCTGAACGTGTTTTCTCTGTATGAGTAATGATGTGGAAGAGCCAGCGGAGTACAAAGCTTTAACATGCTGCCCCGCCCCAGCATTACACTAAAGATACCTAATGGCAGCAGGAAATCAACCTTAGACTGTTTTCATTATCAACTATGTTTTGGGACCATTTCAGAGTTTTTTCTTTATGTTTTTTCCTAAATGTTTTGCATTTGGACTGTTTCAGATTTACAGTTTACTTAGTTTTCAGTTGTTTGAACTCGACTGTATTTAGAAAGTTTGACTTTCTGAGTTGTGGTTTTGGTGAGTAGATTTTTATTTATTTATGTTTAAAAAAAAAAAGAAGCTTTTTCTGGCTTGACTTTAAGCTGCTTTTAGACTCATTTAAAAACCGACTTCATTCTACATTTTGATTATGGACTATTCAGGGACATGGTTTGGAAGATTTTGGACTTTAGTCCTCTGATTTGGGTCTGTGTTTGAACGGTTTTAGACTTACTGGGGACTTAGTTTTGTGCTGTTTGAGTTATTTGGAACTTGATTTAAGACTTTGATTTTGGACTGTTGGTTGAAATTATTATTAAAATTAGTTTGAGGCCCTTTAAAACTTGCACTTGGATTTGAAATTTTCTGGGAGGTGGCTTTGCAGCATTTGAACTTGATTTGTGACTTACAATCATCTGGTTTTGAATTGTTTTAGACTAACTGGAGATTTAGATTTGGGCTGTTTCAGTTACTACGGGACTTTATTCAAGACATTGATTTTGGACTCTTTAAGAACTTGATTAGAATCATTTTGGACTGTTTTAAATTGACTTTGACTTTGTTTTCTTGTAAATTTTGGACATTTTTCAGTTTGGGACTCTGATTTAGTGATCTGGTTTTTGGACTTACTTTTGTGGTGTTTAACCTTGGGACTTGATTCAAGACTGATTTTTAACTCTTTAGGGGTTTGGATGATTCTGAACTGGGTTTTGGTTTGACTTCAACTTAATTCGGGACTTAGTAAGTTTTGGATTCAATTTTGGAATATGTTTAGGACTTCTTGTAAATTTTTTAGGTTCAGATTTGGAAATTTTGGGAGGTGATTTAATCTTTGCCTTGTGTGGTGGCCACCATACTCACCTGTCACTGCTTAGATTCCAGCCGGAGACACTAATCCCATTTGAGATTGCGTCAGGACATTTGCTCAGCATAACAATCTGCCAAATTAAACATGCAGAGCGACCCACTGTGGTGACCCCTTGTGGCAAGAGAAAAGTTTTTATGGGCAGGATTAAATCTGAGGTTTTTAAATACACGTGTGTCTTCTATGACTTCTTGATGCTGAGACTCTGTTCACTTCTTGTAGCCGCAGATTGTTTTTCGTGACTGGATGTTCAGAGCTGTACTCCTGCTCCTTCTGGTACGATCACTGAAGAATAAATAATAATGAACTAAACTTTTGGGGTGTCACCTTCTTTTCTGACAAATCGCAGACTGAACCAAAGCTTGCCTCTCCACATGTCTGTGTAAACCTGACAAAAATAATAATAGAGTAATAAAATAAAACTTAATGACTGTTCTGGAAAGACTGGACTGGAGACTTTGTTGATGCCTCCCAGTGTTTCTTTTTCCGTTAAAGCCACGAGAACAATAGAATCTGTGAATGATGTTTGGCTGCTTGTGAGAGCGGCAGCTCCTCAAACCACAGTCAGCAGCATTAGTTTGGTGGCTGTGGGTGATTTCCCAACCATAGCTCCCCTCTCTCTCCCTGTTGTAATGGATCCCATGTGCTGCTGTACAAACAGTCTCAGTCGGACTTTTTCTCAAACTATCAGTGCTGCTTCTGCAGGATTTCACTCTCTGCAAAGTGTCAGAGTCTTTAGAAATAGAAATAAATCTGGGCATTTCTGACAGTCCTTAAACGCACCACAGAGGTAAATCTGGGCAACCTGCATGTTTTTGAGTCAGCGATGAAGCTTTTTTTCCCTCTGCAGCAGCGAGGCTCCAGCCTGCAGCCTCAGAATAGTTCTGGTCGGTGGCTTCATGGCGCTGCGGTCGCCTCGCCGCTCGCAAGCCACCAACTCCGCTCCCAATCAATCGCCATGGGAATCCAGGCAGCCGGCGTATTTTTAGATCCGAGGAATTTCAAAACAGCTTTCCCCCTTGGGCTGCTTTTATTTCTCTGTGGTTATGCAACGATTTCAGAAAAGCTTTTTATCTCCTTTTTTTAAATTTAATTGGACTTGAATCGCCGCTTCCTCGACGGGCAGTGGTGCTAAGTAATTCGATAAGAGATAAGGGGGAGCCGTTGTTTGAATGTGGTATGTGGACCTGCTCGAAAAGCCGTGTCGTGTTGCTTTTGGCAGCGCTACAGTGTAATTAAGGCAGGAGGCCGCCAGGCATTTAGCAGTACGACACTGAGGAGAACGTCACCACCGTGGAAGACTTTCTCATGTTTTAGCGTGAAGTTATCTGCTCTGGGATTCCCCATCGCCACCAACTCTCTCCCAGCTGTCTTTGCTCTGCTTGTAGTTTTTTTCTTTTTTGTGCTTTAATGTAGTCCCTGGGGTCCCCTCTTATCAGGTGACCTTTGATCGACCTCTCTGCAGGCGTATTAAATTAAAAAAAATAAACCTCCTCCTCTTCCTGCCTCCCACACTTCGAAGTCTCTCCGCAGAGGGACCAGCAGCTAAAATTGGTCTGCGGGCTGATTTCGGGGTGGGTCCCCACATAACAACATAACAAAAGCAGCAAAGGTTTCTTCCCAAATAAACCATGTTTGATGGTTTTCAAGACTTTAAATACACAAAGAGGTCGGCAGGGGGTAATTAGCTGCAGCTCCACAGCGGACCCTCAAAAGTAGCCAAAGTACTTCTTTGACTCTGTTCCGTCTGAAGACTTCTGGCTGCAGCTATGTGCGTTGCTCAGCAGCTCACAGCATTTTTAATTAGACTGAAAAATTCAAAACGTTCTGCAGAGGTTTTAAAGTAACGAAGTTTCATCTGGTCAGCCAACTTAAAGCTTTTAATGTGAAAGGACAGCGAAAAGAAGGGTACTGAGCACTAACGCAACTAAAACCAAAACAAGGAAATAGTGAAGAAAATAAAACTTTCTTTAAAAATATGTTAACGTTACTGAGCATAGACACGAGTTTTGAAAATATTTATTGAAATATATTAGACTGATTTTTGACTGCTTTTAGACTTTGTTTTGGGGTGTTCGGGACTTATTTTGGGTTCATTAAATTGGACCATGTAAGAACTGATTTCAGACGGAGTTTGGTCATCATTTTAGACGTTTTTAGAGTACGGTAATTTGATATTGATATTTGATATACAAATTGATGTCAATGAATTTGGGCCTGATTGTAGACTTGTGTTTGGATTGTGGTTCTGACCTGATTTTTGGCATTTTTTGTTAATTTTGGAAAATGGTTTTGGACTAAAATGTACAGTGAAAAGATTAAGAACAAAAAACCCAAAAAACATTTACAACAATAAAACGTTCAGGCAATCATGGTAAGTAAAAGCAACAAAGAAGAAATGAAATAATAAAATATCTTGTTTTAAATTCTTTTGTGTTTGTTTGGGGACTTTATGGACCTGGTCTGGGTTATTTAGAGTTTATTTTGGACTTTTAATTTATATATTTACTAGTTTTAGACTGTTTTCAGACTTGATTTGAAGCTGTTATAAACTTTTGATTTTGATTTAACTATTGGATTTTCATCCTTTGCATATTCTTCTTTTAGCTCTTTTAAAAACTTTTTTAAAACTTGGTGTCAGACTTCATAAATATATATTTTTAGTTATGCACGAAGGACCAAAACTGCCAAAATTAAAAAAGAAATAAAAAACACTGATGATAAAAATAAATAACTTGCAAAATAAATATAAAGATGAGTAAACATAAAAGCAGCTGCAAGATGAATTTAAAAGTTCTAAACGTAATGACGTACTTATGTATAAATAAAGACAGATAAATAAATAAAAATGGAAAACAGAAAAAAATAATACATAAGAAAAAAAACATTTATGTCTCATGTGAAAGACTGCAATCATTTTTAATATTTTTATAGGTGCATTTAATGGCATAATTTGTGTTATTGGCTTGCTTATTTTGGCAAGTTTGGTCCTCCATACAATGCCATTGATTTCTTTATACAGGCAGAGGTATCGCCCCTGTTAGTTATCAGAAAGATGCAGTTTTTTTGTTTTTTTTCCTGAGGGAATAAAGAAGCGTTTTTGCTTCAACTAAACAACTTGAGCTTAAAGCTCCTCACCAGTGGATTGAACTGTGAGTTCGGTGCACCACCTCTCTGGACAGTAGAAGGATGAATGAATGAAAAGTAAAAGCGCTGCAGTGTCTGTCGGTGTGATTGATAAAGGAAAGTGAGCAGAAAGTGCCTTGGCTGTGCGTGCAGGATCCCTGAGAGGAAACAGCTCATGTGCTGAAATATTAAAGCGGGTTTAGTAAAGTGGGTCTGTGCCTGAGGACCCTGCCGTCCTGTACAGTAACAGTGTGTGTGTGGGCAGCTTTAATATTACATGAGGAATATGGCCGTCCCTGCAGGGCGTGTGAGTTGAGACACCGGAGGAAAGTAGGGCTTCATCTTTTCTCTGAGACAAAAAGTCATCTTTAAAGTTTCATAAGTGATTCTGGGTCAGCCAGCAGAGAAGTTTAACCTTTTGGGTGTTCACTGTTTCTCAGATATTAAGCAACTGAGCGCGATGTTATGCTTAAATCACTTCTTCTTCACTTTTTAAATCCACACTCACGCCCCAAAGAGGTCAAACTTGTTGGTTTTTCAGTAAGCAGAACAAATATCTAATAAAAGTTTGACTTTTTAATGTCACTTTCTGCTGTTTTCATCTCACTCAGTATTCATTTTCAGTCACTCATTGCTTATATTGATATATTTTCCCTCTAACAGGCTGACAGATCGGCATTAAACCAGCAGATCTGATCATTTAAAGCCTCCTGCGGTGATTCAGCTCCATCTCAAACTCTACAAATGTTTATTTGAACCCAAAAAAACCCACTTCAGCTTTCTCTCAAAAGTGGAGTGAAATCTCTTTTTAATGCGACTTGGAAAGCTTCTGAGCCTGACTGAGGAGCTTTTTTCGCTCTGCTGGTTAGGCCTGTGCTGTAAGGAGGTCGTTAAATGACGTTTAATCCGCTCATTATTTTCTCCTCTGTGTTTTAGACTGATTCAGTCTGAGAAGGCGGACGACTGCTCTGCCATTTTATTAGAAGAAGAAGAAGAAGAAGAAGAAATAGCTGGTCCAGCCAAACAAAGACAGACATGCTATGATGTTCTTACCCTCTGGTGACTCCTCCTGGACATACGTTCCCGTCAGGTATCTGTGGACCAGCGCTGACTTACCACTGGCCAGATTACCCACAATGCCCTGAGGGGGAGACAGAAGGGAAGTTAGCATCTCCTAAAACATTCAGCAGACTGTAATCACTCCATCAACAGGAACTCATACTGGTTTTAAAAGTTTTCTAGTGTTGCTGGTGAAGATGATATAATTCAAGCACATGGAGCTGTTACTGCTTCTGTGAGTGGACAAACAAATGCTTCAGCAGAAATGAAATATGAATCATAGTTACTCGCAATTTTTTATTTGTTAGGCCCATAATAATCTCAACTTAAATTTTAGTTAAATGAAAATATTGATATTTTACTCTTAAAATATTTATACATTATGTGAATATTTAACTTTTATCTTTAAATTTTAATATTGTGCTATAAAAGCTTTTTTTTTTATTTTAGTCCCCAAGTTATATCATAATTTTGACATTTTAGACATAAAATGTAATATTTTACTTTTATCTCTGAGCTTAATATTTTGGTCTTATAGTTTTTATACTTAACGTAAATATTTGACTTTATTTTAACATTTTGCTTTTAAAGTTTGCTTCTCATGTTTGTGATGTATTGTTTTAATTTTGATGTTATAATCTCACAACTTTGACATTTTACTTTCATAATTTTGACATGACCTCATAGTTAATCTCATCTAATCATTTTAACTTTTGAATTACATTTTCAACATGTTTTTAAACTTTTATCTCAAAACATTTAACTTATGAAATTTTAATCTCACAATTTTAACATCCATCATTTATTTTATTTTATTTTATTTAATCTTCAAAGTTAAAATGATCAAAATTGTACATCTGTTTGGTTATCTTCGTGTATTCACTTCTTGTAGTGTCCTAAAGCCTGCAGGTCAGGAATCGTGAGACAGAAGTCCAGGTCGGGATTTTAGAAGTAACTAAATCTTCAAAATAAAATACTTAGAGCACCTTTACATTGAGTTGCTCCCCTGAACAGCAGCCAATCTCGACATTTAAAAAATAAATCTCTTTAATGTTTCTGTTTGTTGTTTGTTTGTTGGGATTTTTGTTAAGTTTTGGCAGGAAATGATCTCCATAGTGGTATGCCATCCCGCTGAAGCTTGACTCTTGGACAGGTGACCCCCTCCCCTTTAACGCTCTGAACTCACCACTTTAAGCTCGGGCACCGTCCGACTCAGCGTCCACTCCTGACTGTTTACAAACGCATCTGGAAGACACAAAGAAAGAAAAAACACACATTATTAAACTGTGAGGAACATGTGATGCCTTCAGGGAAAAAATGGAATTAAAAATGCCTGATGGAGTAACGAGGCAGCCAATCAGCTCCTCCTCAGTGGTGTCAAGGGTGACAAAGAGGAAGATGAGGCTTGTCAAGGGTGACAAAGAGGAAGATGAGGCTTGTCAAGGGTGACAAAGAGGAAGATGAGGCTTGTTAAAGCTGACAGACGACCAACACCAGGCCAAAAGTCACAGCAGACTGAACACGATAATAGGACACGATCAGAAATACCGTCATGGTACAGAAGAACCATAAAGAACCACAGCTGAGAAAATACAAAGGTTAAAAGCAACCAAAAAATAACACCATATAAAAACTTATAAGTCCATTAAGAGGGAGATCAACTTACATTAATCTATATGTTCTTTAAGCACTTTAATCTTAGAATCAATCAATCAAATGTTAGAATCAGGAAATAAAGACAAAATCAATAGATGAGAAAATATTTGTATTCTAAATTCTTCTAAAGGTTCCCCACAAATTAACTCCTGCAACCATCTGAGGTGCCGAGTGTCAGAGGTCATGGGAAATGAGGAGGGCGGAGGCCAAATGATGTCAAACCACACACACACACACTTGCACTGTGTGTGTGTGTGTGTGTGTGTGTGTGTGTGTGTGTGTGTGTGTGTGTGTGTGTGTGTGTGTGTGTGTTATTGGAGTGCGATAATGTTGGTATTATCAGGGAGGTCGTTTCCACTCACACTGCAGAGACGGCTCTCTAACAAAAACACTCTGTGGTTTTAAAAACACACACACACACACACACACACACTTCAAACAGGACAAAACACCAGCGGTGAGAAAACACAGACCCGTGGACCAAATCTGGGCCCTCCCACTGAAAGAATGTGGCCTCTTACAGAGAGGCCACATTGTTTGTTTTCTACAGTCAGCAAAAAACCGTACAGTAAAGGTACTCTAACACACCTTTAAAGTATTCAATATGGAGCTGTAGTTCTTTAAGTTCTGTTATCAAGTAAATAGAAAATGTTTCAAAGCCTCAAACAAACTTTACTGGATAAGATACAACAAATAAAATCAAAATATTTAAAGTCACATTTCAACTCATATTGAAATCACAAAATTGGGACATTTTAATTTCATCTATATTGAAACTAAGTCATAATTGGCATTTCAATCTAAAAATATTTCTATTTATACAACTTAATTTCAATACTTTGACATTAACATGTCTGTGGTCACATATGGGGAATCTCTTCAGTCTGCATAGAGATGTGCGACCTTTAACCTCTGAGTTTATCATTAAAGAAGCTGTATTTCAGAAACTGCTGATGAACGCCTTTCATAAAAAAGAAAACGTGAGGCATCCAGATGTTTTCTGTAGCCGTCATCCCACCACAGGCTCCTTTAAAACTGCTGGACTCTGAGACACCTCGGGCTTGGCGTTAAGTAGGCCAGTGGGCCAGAGCCACTTAGAGCCTCCAGCCCCTCTTTACTAATTCATCTGCAGCAATCTGTGTCAGCCTGCAGACCCTCAGACTACACAGTACTGACAGGAAGTGCTAAAAGCCCCATGAAACACTGGTTTTCTAACGCATTGATACCTGAGACTCACACTGACAGTTTTCGTGCAGAGTGTGCGATGCTCCCTATGGAGGAAAAAGACTGACAGAAAACTAATAAATATCTCAATAAATTTATTTTCTTTTGATTCAGCTGGTTTCTGATGTTTTAATGTAGTTTCTTTTTTACATTTTTGTCTCAATTCTGAATTTTAACCTCCTAGGACCTGGACCACATATGTGGACAGCACATTTTCGGTTGTCTAGACCAAAATACTTAATTTTTCTCTACAAGGGCCTGATGTCCACTAACGAGGACATTATACTGCCACTGTTCTAACGAAATTTAAAACTAACGTCCTCATATGTGGATCTCATTTTTCTCAGAAACAAAAATTAGGCAACAAGCAAAAATCTGGTAATTCTTTGTTTTTACATTCATCAGGTCCCAATCAGCCCAAATAGCAAAGAAAAATCAAAAATGCATGCCATGATAGAGTTAGGAGGTTAGAGTTAGGAGGTTAATCTCCTCATTTTAGTTTAAAAACCACTGACTTTCCACCACACAGCATCCTGACTGCTCCTCTTTCCTCCCTTTAATGAGCCCAAACTGCTGCTGCCAACATCTCATCTGTCTGGAAACCATCCAGAGAGGAGCGTCTCGATTGGTTGGCGGGCACACAGAGGGGGACATTGTTCACCCACTCAACAAACGGCGGCCTGTGTCGGGGCCGACCCCTCCCTCCCTGCCAGGCAGGATGTTGACCCAGCTGCTTCCTGTTTTCCATCACAGCCCTCCAGTTCCCCTCTGCTGGTTCCCAGTATGATGCACCAGCAAAGCGAGGAGATGGTTAGCGGCTGACGAAGCATCAGCTGGTGGTTGAACTGGGAGGTGAGGCCGGGTTTAAAGGAAGAAATACGACAGCTTCAGGCTGCACTGATCTACCTTTGGAGCTGATTTGGGACTTTTTTTAACGCCTGAGAAGACCACTGACTAACATCTGCACAGCGATGATGCTTTGTCATGTTTTGTGATGACCGCCCTTAGCTACGATCTGGTATTTTTAGTCTGCTTCCAGGCTGCCGAGGGGTCATCACAGAAACAGAAACACAAATGTCGACTGAAAGAATCTGCGCTGCAAGAAGAGGGAAAGTCCAGATGAGATGAAGCGAAAGCATCTGGGAGCGCGTGGGAGGAACACCTGAACTCAATCAATCCGTCAACGTGTCGTATTTACGAGGCTGAGAGGAAGAGGGAGACAGAGGGCCTGTGGGTGGATGATACGACTCCATCACGGCCCGACTACATGAAGGCGGAATCTCCAAAATTAGGTCATGAGTTAGAAACCCAACACACCTCCTTTCCTCCACTACAGCTTCACGCTCAATAAAAGCAAACATCCACTAAGTGATTTATTGTTTATCCACTTAAAGGCAGAGTGAAAGGTTTATACCACCACAGGACACTTTTTTTGTTCTTTTTCTGATGTAGCAAGTCAAAATTCTTGATTTCCAAGACTCTCAAACATTCTGAGATTAGAAAGTTAAAATGATCAGATGAAGGTAGAATCATGAGGTAAAGTAAAAAATCTGAGATTAAATTGTCAAAATTATGAGATGGGTTCATCACCTATTCTGATTACTGATTACAAAGTACTCCAGATTATGGAGTATGAAAGACCTCACTCATTTCAAGACCACACTTTAAAAAGGAAAGCCTTTTTAACATGTAATGGTAATGTAATGATGGTAATAGGCTTGTGCTTCAACATAATATTACCGTATTGTGTGTGTATAACCTCTTTTTAAGTTTTGTGGATAATATACATGGTTATGCTGAGGATATGTCGGACAATTTCCACTGGAAATGCCTTTTGGTTAAACTGTCATATCAGTTATATCGTTATTGCAAATTTTCAAATGCATATCGTGATAAATATTTTTGGTCATATCGCCCTGCTCTAGATAGTAATAATATGATGTAATAATGGTTAAGTTTTAAAAGCATGTGTTTTGACCTTGTAAAAACACTAAGATTGGATTATGTGGAAATGCAACACAGGCAGACTTTGCTTTATTTTAAAGTGTCATGGCTGTTTTTTGTTAATGGGATAAAATAGCACAAAGGAAGAGAAAGAAAGGGTGGACCAGATGACAAGGGGGAAATGATTAAATGCTAAATGTGCTGCATGTTTTAACCTAATCACATTTGAAGGATGATTAGAAAAACATGTTATTCTTCCACCTGAAACAAACGGAGGAGAAAAGAAGAGGACAACAGGTGAGATACGAAGGGGAAAAGACAGCAGATGGAGTGAAACAGATGGACGAAGACCATGGGAAAAGGAAATGGAGAGCTCCTCTGCTTCGTCATCACTCAGGGAGGAAAAACTTGGAAATGAGAGCGAGCGTCATGGGACTAAAACTCTCCTCCATCACTCCATCCCTCTGTGCAGAGAAAGAAAGGAAGGAGGCCTTCAAAGTGAGGCATCAGGACTCCTGGCTCTCTCCAGAATAATCTCCTTCATTAATTCTCTTTCATTTCACTCGTTTGTCTCTATTTTTATGCTCCGCTCTCCCTCAGAAAGATGGGGAACATGTATGAGACGACACATCTTTGTTTCTCTTTATAAAGAGGAATTGTTTAACTTCAACATTTACCTTCAGTTTCGACCTTCAACATGAAGAAGCCAAGGTCGTTTAGCTTTCTGGTGATACACTTTCAACACAAAACTCTCAAGAAGCCACGTCTCTTCAATAATTCAAACATCTGAACCCTATTTGAACAACCCTAAGTATCAGAGGTTTTTAGGAATAAAGCAAGAAAAATGATCTCTAAGAGGTGGCTGTACCTCAGGAACTCTAGAACTAAACCAGAACCAAAGATTTTAGATCCTGAATACAAAGAACTAAAGAGCTTTAAGCTATAATAAATAAGAGATACAGTCCCTTAAACATAAAATTTGCAGACTCCAACAGCTTTCACCTGAAAGAAACTAAACGAAACCATGAAACTGAATCCAAGATCTTTCCCTGGATTCAGATCGATGAAATGATTGGATTGAGTAACGGATTATTTCCTTCTTACTCTAGATTGTATTTAACATCAAACTAAACACGCTGCAGACTTTCGTTTATGTCCATCCTACCAGTTAGTTTTAAAGTAATCTCTGTGAGGCTGATGTTTGAATTCCTATGTAAAGGTCAAGGTGTTTGTAGTTCTAGTATTAAATTACATTTTGAGCATGATTGGGTTACATGCAGGCTAAAATGAGCTAGCCTAAAATCTTTAATCTAGGTTTTCGAATAATCTGGACTGGCAAACATTTTCCCTGTAAATTTACGAGGAAAGAAATATGAGAATAAAGCAATAAATTAACAAAAATGAACCTTCAGAAACTGTTT